AAAAATTTGCGTGGCCGCTAAACTAGATTTATGCCTAAAATTCTAGTATTTAAATTTCAGAAATATTACCTAATTGTATTTAATAATAGGGTTGTTTTGGACAATTTGGTATAATTGACAAGGACAAATTCATAGACTACAAAACCCTACAAAATCAAGTGTTAAGGCAAAAAAAGAATTGGCAAGCAATGGAATTAGTGGCTTTTGATTTTCCTCATAATACCCAAAATGTGACTGATGAGAAAAACTTACACATCAAACTCCAAGAAGCATATTTTGCTAATAAGCCAGTTTATAATAATTGGAAAGAATTGAAATCAAGTTGTTCTACAGAATATGAACAATTGTTAATTTTATCTGGTGTTCAACATGAGTTATCATATTTTTTACTTTTAGAAGAAGCTTTTTTTTTATGTTACACATTAGAATGTTTAGAAGTGCGAAATGAAAATGGTTCGCTTATAAGTGTAAATGATTGTTGGAACCAATTTAATAGTTTAAAGAAAAATTTTCCATATTTTTATGCAGCTTTTCATTATTATAGATCAAAAGGATGGGTTGTCAAACCTGGACAACAGTATGGTGGAGATTACGGTAAGCTATAAATATTGAATTACAATATTTTTTTATTTTTTTTTAAATGGTTCATGTATTTTTCAGTCCTGTACAAATCATCACCAATTTATTATCATTCCTCATATGTAGTCGTGATCAGTGTTAATGGCCAAAATAGTGAATTGTTACCATCGTGGCCCTCATGGTATGGATGTGGTCGAGCAATAGAAGCTGCCAGTAAAGAATTACTTATATGCACAGTTCTTGGTCCTGCATATGAAGAAGGTATGCAGATCGATCTGTCACAATACACTGTCAATGACACTATAGTCAGACGATGGGTACCATCTCAAAATAGAAAAAAACCTAATGTTGTTAATACGAGTAAACCGTACACAAACAATTAGTATATTGTATGACTAATAACAAAATTATACAGATTAAATGACTATTTAGGTCAGTTCTTTTTTATCTATGAATTTTTTTATTCCTTCAACTTTTCATTTTCTGTACTTCTGGAATTTTCTTTATTCCTGTTAGTCTGTATTGTCTTCGTTCTTGTAAATATTGATCTCGACATTCTTTGATAAAATCTTCATTAACAAACCACTTGGCCATGCAATCATTTAATCTTTTTACTTCTGTTCTGCATTTATAGAACATCCAAAAACCGGTATCCAAGCAACAATCTCCAAAGACTAAACAAAGTTTAAAAAAATTAGCATTTACCAATAAATAAAAATCATAGATCTCGTGAAATTACCTTTATTTTCTTCAGAACATTTTTCATACTTTGCTCTTTCCCGTACAATTTTTGGTATTACTACATTTTGTTCAATCTTTCTCAATTTAAAATTATCAGGATCTCCTGAAAATAAAATTGAAACAATTTTTAAAGAGATAAATATTCAAGGAAAGTATCATTAAAAATATGCATACCCAACCCATGTGGTCCTCCTCCATATCGAGGAGTACGTCCCTCCTTAACTTCTGATGATGCATTTGATGCAAACATTACAACATACAATAGTACCTATTATGCTGATGACAATAATAAAGTGTTTATATAAAAACTAGTATAAAAAATATATTTTAAAAATAATAT